ACCTGCAAATTTATGTATATTACAAGACCGACGTTCACAAGATAATGTTAGCATCGTCATTGTTGATTTGGGGTATGCATATGGATGCATTAAGTTAATTTAATCTAATGTTTTCCATTCTAATCTAATGTGTCAATCTATTGTACTGATATTAACCTTTCTAATTTGGTCCTGGCTGTGTCTTTTTGCAGGAGGATAGATTGGCAAAGTTTGCCTAGTCAGAAAGAAATTTTTGTTTATGAACTGGGCAAGCTTTTGCTACTATTGGTATTGTGTCATTAGGAATATGGATGTCTTCTCTGCTTTCTGCATGAGTTTTCAAGCCTACTAACTTTGTAAATAAATCCTCACGGATTTCCAATATATTTTGTAATTGTACATGTATCACATCTTATTGCATTATTTTTTATTTTTTATTTTGTTTGCAAGCTTAGTTTATTTATTATTTTAATAAACATCAATTATTAGTTCTTAATAATTGTTTATGACAGGTATTTTTTAGTTAAACTATATAAAATTAGCACAACTTCAAAAATAAAAAAAAATAAAAAAGGCTATGGCTGCGTTTTTTAAACGTCACTATATCCCTATCCAACGGTTAGATTTTTAAAATATATAAATGTCTACGACGGCATTTCCAAAACGTCGCTAAATGTCATAGTGACGTCATAGTACAGTTAGGGTAGTATATTTGGCGGCGTTTTTAAAAACGCCGGCTATACTAATTTAACGACATTTTTCAAACGTCATAAAGCTATAGCGACGGCTGCATCATTGGCGTTTGGTACTAAACGTCACAAAAAGAATTAGCGACGTTTTTAGTATCTATAGCGGTGTTTTTAAAACGCCGCTAAAAGTCGATTTAAGTGTATAAGGACACCATTCTCTATCTGTACAAATAAATACATCCTTTTCTCTCTCTTTCTTTCTCTCTCTCTCTCTCTCTCTACCCAACAAAACCCTTAAACATAATCACTCTCACACTCACTCTCTCTCTCTCACTCTCTGAATAATCGAAGAACCCGCCTAATGGCACATATTCGCCATTATTCTCAACGCCAGCGATCCCAAATTCGAACAAGTCATAACTTAGGATCTGATCATCGAACCTCTACATCTCATAGAATTTGGTCGACGAGTCAAATGAAACTTGCAGCAACTCAATGATGTCTTTATCGCTCGTTGTCATATTCAATAAAGGAAGACCAAGCTCGTCATCAGAAGCTTCAATAAGGAAACCTAGATCAGGTTGAGACTCACTAGAATATAACGTCAGATCGACCACTGTCACAGATGGTGAAACGATTATCTCTACCTCAGAGCTCTTTATAAAGGAGTCTAGATCTAGACTTGTCGTGCATACATCTAAGTCATCGAGATTGCAAAGGAGATTGTCTCTGAGTCTCTTTACCTCCGATGAGTCAGATTCTAACTTGTATAAGAGAGAGAGAGAGAGAGAGAGAGAGAGAGAGAGAGAGAGAGAGAGAAATAGAGATAGATAGAAAGATAGATAAAGAGAAATAATATGTAGGTTTATAGAGAGAGATGAGTTTTAGAGATAGCAAAATATGTTTGATTCAATGTTCAAGAACGTCTAGCCCATCATCATTGGTTATTGATTTAGGTTTGGGGATGCTGAAGACAAGCTGGCTAATTCAAATCTGAGTAGGGTTGGAAACTCAAAGGACAGACTCTAATGAAATGGGTTTGTAAAGAGAGAGTTGGATTTTGAACAGATAAAAAAATATTTTGACAGATACAACCTCTCTCTCTCTCTCTCTCTCTCCTCTCTATATATATTTGTATGTGTATGAGAATTTGAACAGATAGAATAAAAAATTGAACAAATATGAAAAAAACAAGCTTGGTGAATTTCAATAGATAGGAAAAAATAGACTTGGTGAATTTTAATAGATAGATACAAATTTAAACAAATAGGTTAGAAAAATTGAACAAATAAAAAAAAAAGATTTGAACAGATAGGTTAAAATAAAAATTTCAAAAAATAGGTGGTAATATCCTTTTAACCAACAAATGTCCTTATCACCAAAAAAGATTTTTCTTTAGATCTAATATTATACCTTCGTTCAATTAGACTTTTCACAAATTTTCTCTTTCGAATTTATATTTAAATATTAAAAAAAATCACTGGTATTTATTGTAAGCACTATTAAGTGCTAAGTTGGAGTGTAAATTTGTTTACACACGCCATCTCATTGAATCATTTTATATTTTTTGTGAGACCATCTCATTAGTTATTATTATTATTATTATTTGGTAACCCTTAAACCCCCAAGGCCAGGCCCTTAGGACCTGACCCTATAAGCCAACTCAAGAGAGGGTGTCGAGGACCCTACCCCTCACCCCCTAATTTCAGTCAAGGGCTATAAGAAGACTAGTAGAGGTTTTGAACCCTGAACTTATCGTCATGTTGGCTGATACCTTACCATTTCATCCAACCTTGAGATATCTCATTGGTTATTTATTGGTTTTAAAAAAACAGAAAAGAAAAAGGAAAGTAATTTGTATTCTTGTGAACAAATTTTCTATCGTAAAACCAAGCCCTGCTACACTTATACTAGGGTTGGAAATCAGCCCGTTAACCCGTCTAACCCAGCTCTATTTTTCTAAGGCTTGGGAAGGTTACTTTACTCCATAGGCCAGGCTGGACCAACATTTTCAATCCGAAATATTAATAGGTTGGGTTTGAGATTTATACTTTCAACCCAACTTGGCCTGCTAATTAATTAATTAATTAATTATTTATAATACATTAATATATATATATATATATATATATCACATAGCCCGATTTATAGATTTAGGATTTATAATTATTTTTTAAATCGAATTTAGACAAATATAAAGTCTCGATGTTAAGACCTAACCAGCCTTAGATAGGCACAAAATATCTTATTACGGGTTTGGACCGCCATTTGCCCACCCTTAGGGCTATTTTGGGAAGACGGCTAAAAACCATCTTTCAACTTTTAACTCATTTTAAATCATAAGGTGATTTTACTTACACAACTACTTTACCTCTTAATATTCTCTATATGAGTGTTTTTTCCCCCCTCCCCCCAATTTTATCCACGTGTAAAATTACCTTTAAGGAGAAAACACTAAAATTAAATATATTTTGTTATCTCCTTATATTCTTGGTCTTCAATTCTCACTCCTCTTTTTTCTTTCTTAATTTTTCTTTTCTTTTACACATCTCTTTTCAAAAAATGAGAATTATTTTGATCATTAAAGAAAATAATAGATAAAGAAACAGTGGTGAAGAACCATAAAAAATGTAAAATGGTGAGTTTTTTTTATTTATTTGGTAGGTTTTTGTTACGTTTTTCTAGACTGGTATTCAACTTTCGTTTGGTGGTTCGAAATCGAACAAAATAAAATAGTTTAGCATCACATTTCCAAACAAAAAATATAAGTCTGGTAACCAACTACAAAATAAAAGATACATTTTCGGTAACCCCAAACCAATTTTTTTTTTAATTTGTTCGGCTTCTCATTACCATGTATTTTCAGTTTCATTTTTTATATTTTTAATTTTTTTGCTTGGAAGGATTATACTTATATTCATTGTAACAATGCAAGTACTGCAATATTAGTGGACTCTAGTCATGAATTCATTACAGACGAGATTTGTTAAGGTTTTTTTTTTTTTTTTTTTTTTATAAATACGATTTCTTCTTATTTTTAATTTGTATTGAGTTTTATTAATAATTTGACGTATAAATGTATTATCTTTAGATTTTTCGTAGTCGTGAAGCATTAATTAAATGAACTTCTAACGTTAGGAAAAAGCCTAGATTTGTCATTGTTATAAAGACATCAGATGCGGAAGGTAATGGCAGAAAACTAAGACTTACACTTCCTTGTAAAAGAAGTGATTATTATAAAGGCAATAGGAAGATTAAGGGGGAACGATTGAGATTAATAGGTTCTAAAAAGTGTGGACGTCTATTTCTATTAAGAGAGGAAAAATTATTTACAAATTACCAAGACGACTTGTGATAGCATGTTTAATTGATGGATGCAAACAATGACAGATTTTATGGATACTTTATAGATATTCGTACACTTAATGTTTTTATGGATACTTTTTATATATGATTTTATGGATGCGTGTTTGATTTATGAATTTTTTTATGGATGCTTCAAGAAAAAAGTAAATCTTTCAATGTACAACAATGGGAGCCTAGACAACTCTATTGTAGTTTGGCAACATAACATTAGAGTAATCCCATTTGTATAACAATGTACCACTGAACATGCACTTCACAAGTGACCCAAATTAATTTCTTGTTATCATCTAATTGGACGGCAACATAATTCTGGTAAAAAAAAATATTGTCCGGTAACATGGCACTAGAGTAATTCAAATTAATTAGCGTTGTACTACCGAACAGGCCCACCACAAATTAAAAAATCATTATTTGAAAGAAAGTGTCTCTGTAAGGGGTTGTTTGGGATGTCTTAAATAAGTACACTTTTTGAATTTTTGAAATAAAAAGTTGAGGAAAAAAATATGGTTGTTGGATTAACTTTTTGACTTTTTATGGGAAAATGTGTATTAAAAAATTGTATAAATTAGTGTGTAGAGAAAAATTAGGATTGGAAGTTGCGCAGCCGTACTTTTTGACTTTTAGTAAATAGTGATAACTTTTTAACTTTTTGAGTAACTTTTTGACTTTTTGACCACAAGCCAAACTTGGCCTAAATGTATAGCAACAAAATACTAGAGAAATCTATTTTTTCCGATAATATAATACCAAATAATGTAAATTGTTTAGCACAATGTTACCAAAATTAGTGGTGTAAAAAGATAAACTAGTTAATTTATGATTAATTTTGATAGTATATTGGGGGTGTAATGAAAATTATATTTTTTTTAATGGTGCAATGGGATAGAGAATATAAAGAGGTTAAATAGTTGTATAAATAGAATCACCATAAATCATATTATCACTCATATTTTTTACATAATTTTTTTTAATTAACTTTTAACTATCTCTTTATGGTTTAATTGGTCAACGATCAAGTCACATAAGCTTGTCGTTCTCTTTTGACATTACCTATCCAGCAGCGATCAAGTCCGTTGTAGTGGTCTACCAGAGCAGTTGACCTTACAAACAAAGCAGACGAAAGGTTTGATTTATTAATGTAATTCGGTAGCTCCGAAATCTGAACCCTGCTAGTAATATTCCTCTCTTTTCGATTCACAGTTAACAGTTAATGGCATCTGTGACCCCCAACGAAATGGGTTCCGGGAAACTTGTTCGTGAGAAGATCATAATCGATACAGATCCTGGTATTGGTATGTTCTCTCTCTCTCTCTCTCTCTTTTCACCACTGCATAATTGTTTTCCCATTTTATTCCTTAGCTACCTGTTTCAGTGTTGAGTCAATTGGGCGTCACATCATCTCTTTCAATTCTCTCTCCCATCAATGTGGTAGGTTTTTTTTCCCCTACTTGCAAAAATTTTTTTTTTTTTTTGTGTGTGTGTGTGTGTGTGTGTGTATAATATAAGTGGTTTAAGTAATAAAATGATAGTTGATTTTAAATGGCAAAACAATTTTAACAGAGCATTCTATGTCAGTGGAATGCTTTATATTTCCAGTTTTTCAACCGCTTATTTTATTGGGCACGAGATTTTAATTACTGAATGATTATTTTTTAACAAGAATCAATCATAAGTATCTGCATATGTGGTTGTGACAAAAATTAATCATAAACATATTATTTGACAAAAAAAAAAAAAAGAAAAAGAAAAAAGAAAAAAGGACAAGAAACAAAAGAAATGGTCAAAATGAAAATTATTTTGGCATCTGTGCAGAACACAGATAAGGAATTGATGAAAATTCTCATAGAGGGCTAAAATTTGACAATCGTATATTTTAAAACAATATAGGGTCACCTTTAATTTTTCATCAAATATTTATTAAATTTAAATTTAATAAAAAGATTAATTAAAATAATACTTTAATCGTTTCATTAAATCGATATCAATTACCACTGCACAAGGTTCTGAAAAGCGGTTGCGGTCGCCGTAACGGTGGCGGTGGAGCGGTTGCGGTTGCGGGGTGTAAAGGCTGTAGCGTAACGGTTGCGGTAACCGAAACCGTGAATTTTTTTATTTTTCGCACAATTTAAAAAAAACTTACCGATACGCACTTTTTTTTTCCATGATCATTTTTATTGGGTTTTAAAATAAATATTGATTAATTTTTATAAATTTTTTAGTTTGATCCAATATATTTTATATTTTTAAATCATTACAAACTTAGTTTTTTACATTTTATTTTAATAATTAATGACTTTATATTATACAAAAAATCAATCACTAACTATTATATATAAGATAAATAATGACAAAAGTAAATATATATATATATATATTAATCAAGCCAAATAGATAATGACCACACTTATTATTATTATTATTATTATTATTATTATTATCAAACAATATATAGATAGACACACACAAACAAAATAATTGAGTGATAGCAGCTGAATATAATAGTATAAGTCTTACATCATGTAACTCCTGCAATTCCATGGCCAAAAAGCTCGATCTTATGCGCCGAGGGCTAGAAGGTAATGTCACTATCATTTCTGAGCTCAAAGCATTGAAATGGCTTGACCTTTCATATAATAACTTCCATGGATTAATCCCGCCTACTTTTGGGAATTTGTTTGAGCTTGAGTTTCTTGATTTGTCTTCAAATAAGCTTGGAAATTCAATGAATTGTTCAAGGAAGAGGATGACCGGGGGACATCTAGCCAGATGTCCGGCCTGTCATCCGCTGGGTCCCATCCTCAACGGTCATATATAGTAAAATGGTGAAAGGTTTCCAGATCCTCAGTTTGGTGAAACATTCGCTATTTTCTCAGTTTGATACATGTTTGGTGAAACCATTGAAGCACAAAAAGAGGTACTTTTTCACCAAATTTGAATTTGATGATAGATCTGGTGAAGCTTGGAGATGGTCTAACTCCACTTCGAGCTCAGTTGGCCACTACTGATAGGGTCAATCATTGCCAAAAGTGAAGATTGATTATTTTTTCACTATTAGGGGGGTTTTCTTTAGTTGTTTATTTAGTTCCTATTATGGGGTTCCTTGTTGTAGTGCTGTAATGATTGTTGGTGTTGAGCTTGTGGATGTGTTACAGATATATGTTGTTAGACATTCTTACATAGTTGATTGCCCAATTTGATATAATTCTCTAGAAAATTGTGAATAATCTTCTATTGATTGAAAAAAAAAAGAAAAAAAATGGAGTGACGTATAGTCAAGGTAATCTTGTTTTTCTTTTCTCTGAACAAGTTTTATATAAATAAATGTGGGACTCTTCTTGACAACAAATTGAGGTGGCATCTTAATTACTTTTATACAAAATTTATCACAATTACATGGTTGTGACAGTCTTGAAAATAAATACCATATGTTTGGATTCTCTGTCTTAAAATCATAGATTCACATTCAATCATATTGTCCTCTATCCAATTACCATACATATTTTATGTTTGTATAGCATTATTGTAATTATGTTTCACATCAATTTATGTTTTGAAGAGAAGGCATATAATAAAATCTCACATCAGTTTGTAAATTTTGTTTGCTTGTTTATATAGCATTTCTTGCTCTGCCATTATCCTTAGTAGCGCTCACATTCTCTCTTTCGTAATGTAATAAGATTCCTATTTCATAGTGACAAAAAGGAGGGAAAAAAATTACTTAATTGTCATGTGTGAGATGTGAATGGAATCTTCATTGATCTACACAGATGATAGCATCGCGATCTTCATGGCATTCCAAACTCCACAGCTGGAGGTCTTAGGCTTAACAACAATATTTGGTAATGTTACTACAGAAGATGCCACTCGCAATGCTTTGATCCTTGTATGTATTAATTAGTCAATTCTAATTCTAATTTCCTATACAGTAAATATAATTTTTTCCATAATTTGCGGTCTTTGATGTTCTTGGAACATTTTCATGATTATTTTTGATGTGCAAATGGATAGGGTGAGATTGCAGGATATCCTGATGCTCCTGTGGCAGAGGGTAGCCCTGAGCCTCTAAAGGTAACTTCTTTTATGAGTTTATCTATATTTTTCTGCACAGTTGGACTATATCAAAACACAGGCTACATGTGCATTGAACGTATTTTGAAACAGGGTGGAACACCAGATGTTGCATACTTCATTCACGGTTCAGATGGATTAGGGAACACAAATTTACCTCCTCCAAAATCCAAGAAAATTGAGAAGACTGCATCAGAATTTTTAGTGGATATGGTTTCTGAATATCCTGGCCAAGTATCTATACTGGCACTTGGTCCATTGACAAATTTGGCTTTGGTAAGTTTTAGTATCCTTCCCTTCCATTCACTGTGGTGCATATCACATTTATTTCCAAGTTTTATCAATCTTAAAGATGCATTTTGTTTTGATCAGGCTGTCAAAAAGGACTCATCCTTTGCAAGCAAGGTGAAAAGAGTGGTCATCCTTGGCGGATCTTTCTTTGCATTGGGAAATGTCAATCCTGCTGCTGAAGCAAATGTAAGTGCTCAGCTGGAATTAAGAATTTGGTCTGATCTCCACTCACTTACTCTTGTAAATAATCAGTTGCCGATAAAAAATCATCTTTGGGTCTTGCATTTGGTCATGGGTGATGCACCTGATTTTTGTGATTCCAAATTTTCCATATCAGAACTGCCCAAAGATCAAATTTTCTTAAATGGCAAGCATAAAGAACCCGCTCCATCTGTTGTAAATAAATCAGTTGGCTGCTAGTCAAAACAAAAGTGAAGAGGCTGACTAGAGGTCAAAGGTTCATTAGAGAGTGGCAAAACACATCAGACACCAAGGACTTAGAGGACATCTGGGAAGAGACATGCTCGTCCATCCATTTGAGAGAGAGAGAGAGAGAGAGATCTTTGAAAGGGTGTGATGCAGGGGAAGCTTATGTTATGTTGCAAAATGTACTTCTATTTATAGAAGGTTAGGCATGTGACCATAATTAACTATCAAGATTTCCTAGAATTCTGTTAGGATTTGGTAGAAATATTTTTAATTATTAGGATTTGTCCAAATCTCAATTACCGAGGTCCCATACATAGTTTTTTGTGATGCGGTCTCTCTCTCGACAGAATGCCTAAGTCAGCTTTGCTCGTGAGTGCATAGTGCTAAGGCAGAACGTCCGCTTTAGCCTCTAAGTCACAAGACCCCCCAGAGTCTTGTGATGAACATTGAACACTTTGGCATGCCTGAACCTTGCCTACTGGCTTAGGCACTTGAGTGGCATTGTATACTCCTTGGAGTAGTAGCTCGTGCAGTCCAGGCATGTGAAGTATGAGTTCTGTTGCTATGTTACATGGACTCTGGTGTAGTTGTTGCTTGCCATGCGGATTTGTGTCTTGGTGTCCTCATCTAATTATTATGTTGAAGGATATGGGGACATGACAACATATTTCTATTTCTCTATATACTTGTTTTATTTTCTTGAGTAAATGGTGTTTACAAGGTGCATTTATAGCATTCATGCATAATATGGGTACTTTATACTTTGTTTCACAATAAATGTGAATTACTAAATATATCTGTTAGGTGAATGTTTAACTAAACATGCCAGACAAACCTCATATCCTGACCCATGAGTGTCAGTGTCCGACAAATGTACTTCATACACGCAGAAGTGTCCATGTAATGATTCCTAACTACAAGGGATGTCAGGTTGGCGAGGCTTGCTAAAGATGAAGTCTTAGGACTTAGGCACATTTGAGATGCTTATCAGTCCTTTGATCCCTCTCAGCTTGGACTGACCATATGGAAACTAGTTTAAGTTCTCATTCTGTCAAATTACACCACTTGCCTTTTCCGACTTGCAGATTTATGGGGACCCAGAAGCAGCTGATATTGTGTTTACATCTGGGGCAAATATTGTTATTACTGGCATAAACATTACAAGACAAGTCATAATGACAGGTCCTGCTTCGCCTTTCTAGTTTTCTTTGTTAGAGTTTTTGTTTTGTATCGTGCTTTAACGAATCTATTTCTCCCCTAAATTAAAGCTATCTTGCGGTTTCAGATGCTGACCTTGATGAATTGAGGCTGTCTGAGGGAAGACATGCTCAATTGTTAAGCACTATGTGCAAATTTTACAGAGATTGGCATGTTGAGTCTCTTGGAGTCTATGGTAACTTCTGTTCATAAATTGGACAATATCAAAGTTGTGCTGTTTTGATTGTTAATCAACATAGTCAGTTATAAACATTAATCAAAATAACAAATTGAAGTTTACAAATGTAGGGATTTTCCTCCATGACCCAGTCAGTTTTGTGGCACTAGTTCGACCTGACCTCTTTACATACAAGAAGGGGGTTGTGCGAGTTGGAACAGAGGGGATATATATGGGGCACACACTCCTGGACCATGAACAAAAGTACGTTTAAAAGACCAAGGATACTCTGTTCCCAAATCCCTATGCCCCTATGTCCTAATGTAATTGATGTTTTGTGGGAATTTCAAGAAATGATCGGGTTGGGAGTGCATTGGGATAGAGCGATAGGGATTAGGGGAAAGAGGATTCCGTGCCCATTTCAAGTAAAATGCTTTTTTGGGGGTGTATTTTGGTCTTTTTCATTGTTGTTTCTAAATTTATCTTAATAATCTGATACAGATGGGATTCAAGCAACCCATGGTCAGGATATGCCCCTGTTTCAGTGGCGTGGACGGTTAATGTGGACGAAGTTCTTGATTATATTAAGAAACTGTTGATGAAACCGTGAAATCTTTTGATGTTGTGCTCAACACCCACTGAAGATGTCAATTACTTTGAAAACAAAAGTTGTGTTGTCTTCATTTTCTACTTGAGATCCCTTGCACTGTTAGTGACAAACCAAATTTCGGGGCTTGAGTTCTAGTTTGCCAGTCTCCCATAGCTGAAAGTTTGCTGTAATATATGAAATATATAAACGCATTTACTTAATTTACATCAATCAAATTAAAAAATTTATGAACATATTACTTCAAGAGTACACACTGTTTTGTAAACTTTTGAAGTTGTGTGTTGTTTCTTACACATGGCTTTGTTTTCTTTTAATCTATATTTAGCATGCTTTAATTTCTGTTTTGTTTGCATTCATCGGTCATATAGTTCCTTTGTTGCATTATCTCTTGTATTAGTTTTGTGTACATCTCTGTTTCATTGTTTTTGTACTGTTTAGTCTTCCAAATTCTGATTTGTTGCATACTATGTTGATTTTACTGTTTTGTATTATGCAAATCTGGATATAGTTACATTTTACTGTTACATATTAATTTGTTTTGCCTTTCAAACCCTGAGCCATCATAATTTTGTTTATTAATTTAGACTACGCTTGTCTACATATTGAAGGTGTAGTTGATATTAATCTTAAAATTATATATATATATATATATATGAAATAAATTATAAGCAACTCTAATAAATTACGTCAAACAAGACATATATATGTTTGAAGTCATCTTGAAGGAGATTTGCACGTAACCTCAACTTGGCTTTTATTTCCCGTTCTTCCCTTCCTTTCTCCTAAATTAACTCGTCGCACCATGTTACTTTCGGTTGTGGTAGGTGCTTCAGTCTTTGACCTTCATAGTTGTTTTTTTTTTTTTAATTTTTTTTCATTTCCTTTTCCTTGGATAAGTTTGGATTTTCATCAAAATCAAAATTATTAGTAGAGGAATAACAGCCCCTTAGACGTCTTCCTTAAGTATTATACTTGTTAGAAACGGAAGGTCATTTTCCTTACCATCATCTTGAGATGAGTAGTCAACCATTTTGCCCATTTGTTGATTAAATGTTAACAATTTTTACATGTTCATGGCATTGAGTCTCTTTTAAATACACTATAATGTCCACCAATGTCTGTTTATTATCATTACTGCAGCCTATTGATTCCATGATTATCAACAAATGAAGTGTTGAGTCACTGATCAAATTTTGAAAACAAAATTTCAGAGAAACCGCTCTGATACCACAAGTGGTGAGTTCTTTTAGAAATAAAAATCTATTTATTTAAAGAAACACTGACTTGAATTAATTAGATAGTGCCAAAATAAATCAAATCAATTAAGTTCAGCTGAGTTAGAACATGCATCCACCATAAAAATAAGATATCATGCATAAGAGACAAGGATTTGTCATTTATAATGGGACTTCCATATGAGAAGGTAAAAAACTCATTGTGGTGCAATTCACACAAGTCTAAAATTAGTTTTTTGGTGAGAAATGGGCATGTCAAATGACTTAAAATGTTTTTTTTTTTGTTTTTTGTTTTTTTTTAAATAAGTGAAATGAATTTATAAGCCAGCTTATGAGAGCTGCCAAACAAAGCCTAACTTAATCAAGTCAAGTTGCATGACTCCATATTCAGACAAAGATTCTACCTACTCACATCCCAGAGCAGTCTATACTTATAAATGTTTTTCTTTATCCGTGCCAATCTCTCTTAAACTTTGCCGATTTACTATCCCCAGTTAGCCATTGTCAAACTCTAGCTCCAAGTTACTTGATCGACATAACTAATTTATGTGCAATTGTGTGTGCTTTAATGTTGTACATTGTGTCACGGATTTGCAACTCACAAAGAAATTCAAAGCCCAATCCCATTGATTATAAATCACATATAACACTGAACATTCAACCCACTCAATCTCTAGAATGAAATTTTCAACACAAAAAATGACCAATTGGTACGTAGACATTTTCCCTCACTACTTGTGCAAATCATGTTGACAGATTGGCTTTCTCAATTGTAGTTCTCAAATATGTCTTACTGTTAAAATATTTTCAAAATATTTAAAAGCTGTTTGTTTTTTGGGTTTTTAAAACGTTCCTTCTTTTTTGTTTTTAAACCTACTTTTATAAAATCCAGTCCCACATAAGAAAAAGAGGACAAACCTACTTTTATAAAATCCAGTCCCACAAAATCCAGTCCCACATAAGAAAAAGACGACAAACCTACTTTTATAAAATCCAGTCCCACATAAGAAAAATAGGACAAAGTAATGCCTCAAGAAATGAAGTCACGAAAGATTCTCTTAGGCCATGTTTGTTTGGGTGGACATGAGCTTGGGATTGAATTAATAGTCCAATAAAATTATTAATCCGATGTTTGGTTAAACAATTGAAGTAGGGACTAATTATTTTAAACTTGACTATTAGTTAAGATAGGATACATAATCCAACGGATTCATAGTCCTAGGACTATCAGTCATGGGAATGCTAATCCAGTCCGCCCAAACAAACATGGCCTTAATTTAAAGAGAATCAAAGGCCATGCTAGTGTGTATTTATATGTTCCACCGATGTTATTCGCACATGCGCGTCCGCGAGTGGTTGGGAGCATTGTGGCGCTTTAGAGGCGCACTTAGACACAGGAAATTATTTAATATTTTCAAAATATTATGTGGTTATACTATAAATCGATCATCAATTATTTAATCTCATATTATTTCCTCATTTTCAATATAAATTATGGATCTTTACGTCTCTTCACTAATCAAAATCTTATAGAATACCACGTGTCTATACTAATCAAAATCTTATAGAATACCACGTGTTCATACTCCGAGAATACTGAATAATCACCCCTTAAACACATGGCAAATGTGCATGTGACGAATGATCAAAGATTGTTGATTTTTTCAATTCATAGTGGGTGATCATCGAATGTTTTACTTATGTCGTACTAAAAAATTATTTTAAAATTTAAAAGAAAAAATAGTTGGGATTATGTCAATAAATTGTTTTCATTTAAATTGTAATCGGTAATATTTTATTTTAGGTATTAACATCATCTTGTGATCGATCTCTAACATTTAGAGCAAAAAAAAATTAAGTGAATTATAAAAAGGGTTAATTATACTTAACACTTATCAAAATTTTACTTTAGACCTTAAACTTTCAATTATAATAATCAATCATCTACACTTTAAGTCAAGTTACAATCTTATCTTTCTATCCATCTACCGTTAACAAAGTTATTGTAATTTGTTATTTGAATCATGTATGACATTTTTATTGTCTCATTAACACTCTTACGCTTTTATTAAAATCTTATTTTAATCTTTAGATTTTCTCTGAAATCTCACTTTAGTGCCCCCACTATCAATTTCTATTTGCTTTATTAACAATAGATAGATAAACAGAAGGATGTGAATGAAACTTGATTTAAAGTGTAAAGAGTTGACTGTTATAATGATGAAAGTGAGATTTTAATAAAAGTACATTAGAATTAAATATAAGTTACCCATTATAAAGAGTTGACTGTTATAATGATGAAAGTGAGATTTTAATAAAAGTACATTAGAATTAAATATAAGTTACCCATTATAAAAATTGTTTTTAGCATAAAAGATAAATATACATTCTTTTATTTTATATTTTCTCCAATGACATAACAACTAAAATTTCTAATTCACAATTACATATTGAAATTTATTTAAAATTTGTTAAAATCAAAAGTAAATTGGAGAATGAAATGGAAATTTTTTGAAGAGCAGCATTGACCTCTTTTCCCGAACCTGCCCGTATTAGGCTCTTCCTCTAAATCATTTTACTCCCCTTCTTAACCACTTGTAACTTCCGTTTTTAGTTCCCTTCTCAGTCATATTTTTGTATTCCCCTTCACTTAGCTACTTTTACAATTTCTAACCTTACAATCAATCTCTAATGGTATGTTTGGTTAGGGAATTTGAGGAGAGAATTGAAAAAGGAAATGAAAATGAAAAAGATAAGTGAAATATGAATAAAACATGCTTATATTTCACCTAGTTTCACACACTTTTTCTTTTTTTCTTTCCATTTCCAAATCTCTCTTCAAATTCCCTCTTCAAATTCCCTAACTAAACACTGTGTAACTGAACCTTGTTAGAATTCCTACCCACCATATTCTTTAATCTTCTCATTAACTAAACTAATCTCTTTTAAACAATATCATTGAATATTTATCTTGAAAGGGTAGCTACGTGAGCCAGTTAGAAGTCGAGGGAAAATTACAAAATACTCGGAATACCACGCATATATATATATATATATATTAAATTTTGTTTTGGTTATTAATTACGGCTGCAACTTTTGTTCACATATCTTTTATAGGTAGGTAGCAGTACAATTTTTTAAATTATAAATGTTGATTACTTTTTGTTTGTAAGCAATTTGGGAAAATGGAAAAAGTTAATTAATAGAGTTTCGATATGAAATCTGCATATTATTGTGTTAGACTCCACATGCAAGTTCTATTTGTTGTTATCTATTTGCAATGCTTTTTGCATGTTTGTATTTTTAAAATATCTCATCTTCGTTTAACTTATAAAACATGGTAATGGTTGCAAAAATATTCACAACAAAATTCAATAAATAACAATCTTTTTTAAAACATACAATTCCAAACATTATTGGATGGTTAAATGTTAATATTTTTTTTGACAATCAATCATCTTTGACCCCTTATATTTTTAGTAAGATTACTAGTATATATAGAATTATTCATAAATAAAAATAAGGGACACTTACGTATAGGTCTTAATAGATGAACTTATTATTCAATAGGTCCTGTGAGAATTAATGGCATTTTTCATCTAACACTATTAAAAAGCGTCATTAATTGTTAATTTTCAGCAAAAGTTTAAAAATTTGATCACAAAAAATGTCACTAATTGTGAGTTTTAGCGACAGTTTAAAAAAAATCGTCACAAAAAGTCACTAATTTTCAACTTTCACCGAATAATTTGAAAAATTCGTCACAAAAAATTGTTATTAATTGTAAGTTTTAGCGACAATTTATCAAAATCGACAAATACAAAAAATCATTACAAAAATTATTTTTAGTAACGATTTTATTAGGATTTATTTTCAATAAGACTTGATGGAAATTAAATCCAACTATTATGACTTATTAGTAGGTCGCAACAACCAAATTCACGCAAAAATAACGAAATATATATATATGCAATCTGTTTCCTGAGTTCACAAATTTTGTTAATTTTTCAATTTAAAACACATATAGGCTAACAATTAAATTTGTTAATGCTTAGATTTAAAACAAATTTGTTACCTAAAAAGCAATCTAAGAGGGGGGATAAA